ATATATATATACATATACACAAAACATACATTTTGTTCAAGAAATTACGCGCATAAATGATTTAATTATTAGCGAAATTGTCAAGATATTTATTTTACATAATAAACATAATATAATAATTAATATAACGCGAACATAAATGCCATGGATAACTTGGATTTTCTATATCCCAGAATAAATTACCATTTTACGATATCTCTCAGAAATATTGTCACATTTTTTAGTAAAAATTATATGAAAATTTTTCTGAACAAGAATGTTATAATGGCATATTTTTTTTACTTTTACAGTTGAATGGAATAAACACTCAGGGTGAAAACATTGCGGACAATGGCGGTATAAAGGAAGCTTATTACGCGTACAAAGAATGGACCAAGCGAAATAAACCGGAGCAGAGATTACCAGGTCTGCCATACAGCCCAGAACAGATGTTCTGGATAAGCGCGGCCAATACTTGGTGTAGCAAGTATCGACCGGAAACGATGAAGCTGCGAATTACGACGGGCTTCCACAGCCCGGGTGAATTCCGCGTTCGAGGACCGCTGTCGAATATGGAGGAATTCTCGCGCGACTTCAATTGCCCGGTCGGCTCCAGTATGAACCCCGAGAAGAAATGTGCCGTGTGGTAGATTTCAGGTGTCGGCGAAGTACATGCGAAACGGCACCGACTGACTCCGTTTTTAACCTTAGAATCTGATGATTTCGCGCGCTTGTTGCTTTGTTGAAATAACCATCGTTATTCGTAGCGATTCAGCACTAGAGAGACTTACGTCTGAATGCACGACATTCCTACTCCTCCTGAGCGACAAAATACAGCATTTTGGTTCTTAGACGTTAAACCGTTTTATCATATCGTTAATAAAATTAAATGATTGTCTGTTTTTATTTCTATGATTTTACGAATCTATATTTATGATTGAGGCTTCTAAGGTTAACGAATGAAATGGAGTCGTCGATCTCATATCTGCAGGATTTGGGGATAGCTTATTCCCTTCTTACAATATCCTGCCATACGACATTGTTGCAGCGAAGAATAGCTTATCAGTGAATTTGCTTATATGAAAGCAAGGACTGAAATTTCACGATAGTAGTACGGAGCATGCAAAAGTCTCGAGAAGTATTCTCCAGAGGGGAATTCACGAAAATCGATCCGATCTTAGGCACGTGAAATAGACACACGCACACACACGCACGCCCACACACACGCACGCCCACACACACGCACGCCCACACACACACACACACACACACACACACACACACGCACGCACACACATACATTCACACATTACGTATCGTTTTTGGTAAACAATTTTTATAAGAAGAAATATGTTACGGAACGCGCATATGTGTAAATAGAAAAAAATAATGACGGATTTGAAAGTTAATTAGTTTCTACTTATACAGAGTTTCATCGCTTAACTGTCTTTGATGTATAAGGCATTAGTGATTCCTGTGCCAATGACAATGTTTGTCAAAGGTTTTAGAATATTATGACAAAATTAAACTAAATTGTCTAATGTGCTCTGATAGTAGTTTCTAGTTTAAGAATTTTTATGGTTGGACATATCGAAAAGTACTGTTGGCAGCTTTGTTAAGAATTCACCTTTTATCCTATTTTATTGTTGATAGCTTTGTTAAATCTTACTTCTTAAGGCTCGGTTATCTCTCTGCAGCCATATTGAATTATAACTTCGAAAAGCGAGAAATGACATGTAAAATTCGTTTCATACGTATAATTTTATCTTGTGTACCATTATTAGTGTACATTATTATTTCAAGAATTATTTTATACCATTATCAGTGTACATCATTGTTTCAAGAATTATTTTACATCTTTACGTGATTTATTGGACAGATATCTAACTTTCTGATATTTTTTACAATTTTTTAAGAATACAAAAATATCATGTTTTTACGAGAAAAATGCAAGCTAAAGCTATACAAGGCAAAGAACTTTTTACATGTCATTTCTTGCCTCTGACGTCACACAACCCATGTCGCGCCGTGAGAGAACCGAGCCTTAAGATACATTTTAAAATATTTTATTGAATTGATAATCAGCAGCAAGAGAAAAAAGATGCGAACGGTGCGGCATTATTCTTCGATAAATTTGATAGATTTTTTTTTTAATGTGTGAAAATGTTATAATTATTTTATGTTGAGTATTACTTAGTAGTATTATCGAGAATAACGATTAAATACCGCAAATTGAATTTTTACTAAAACGAAATTCACTTAATGTAATAATTAAACTGAAACAGTCAAGTTGTGTGTTCTCAGTCAAGTTCTCCATTTTCTTCCTTAAAATTTAATTCACATCGTGACGTAGCACTAAAAAGACTCGCAATTATTAAAAAAATATCGCCGAATATCGATCTCCAATGTTTTATGAATTACAATTTTACATATAATCGTATATTATCAGCGTATTCACGAATTCCAATAATTTAATGCGTTTTCACTTCTCAATCGATAGTTCTCGAATAAGATCGTTAGAATTACGATGTTAGAACAACTTATTAAAACTGTCTTAATTAATCGTAGCTATTAACTGCGAGCAATTAAACCGTGATTGCTTCCCAACATGTCACTTTTTGCATCCGCATGCGTTACATTTTTACTTTGCGTTTACATCTCGCGCTCTTTTCTGGCTCTCCCCGCCTTGAACGCATTTCTCATATTTGTTACATAAGTCATCGAGTTAATTGTCGTAGATTTAAGCAAAATGGATATATGTATCTTACATAGTATTTTTGTTGAATGTAAAAGTTTAATACAGGAAAACCTGATGTAAATATCGAATATTGTATTTTTATACATCCAGGTTTCCCAAAAAAGTATCGCTTTTTTCGGAACAAAGTAGACAATTGAAGTTCAAGCTGGCAATTTTCACTTCAATTGTTCGAATGGCGTGCAAGAAAATTGAAAAACATTATGATGAAGTACTTAACGTTCTGGTGGCCATCTGATACCAGCTTGCTTCAGCAGCTTAGGTGAGCCATGACGACTTTGATGGGGTTCGGATAATCCAATTATTCGATCCTCTTGCAGTTTGCATTTTGCAACGAAGATGATTTACTGTTGATGTCCAGCTCACATTCTCCAGATAATATCACACAAGAATAATCTTTTTTGATTCTCAGATATACAATTTTTCTTACAAATATGACGCGAAACAGTAGCGTGAAAAACTAACGCGAAGCGCAGAACAGCTTCAAAATAACGCGACACGCAATGACGCATGCGCATGTTCCCTTTCGACTCGACGACAAAAATTCCCTTCAAAAGAGCTACAAGCGAATATCGGAACGATACAAAAGCAATATAAAAAATTAATGAAAAAAAAAATATATATATATGTATATTGATGAGAATACGATTTCGTGATGACAGTGCGAGACATGCCCAGAGGACTCAGGGTTCGGACGTGCGACGTATGGCGCATGCGCGACTTGGATTGCGTCTGTCATTGCGGCCGATCGTGGCGCAGCGGAGCGTCAGCGGAGCGCGCGGCAGGACGAGTCGTCGTTTCGTGGATCGTGAAGTGACGCGTGAGCTCGCACGGAGTTAACGTCAGAAAAATTGTGGAGAACTGCGCGCCAGCAATGGACAGGCCGCCATACAAACTGAGCAGCGTGCTCCTCGGCCACACCGCAGACGTGAGGGCGGTGGCGGCCTTCCTCGATGGCACCGTCGTATCGGCCTCCCGGGACAAGACCGCGCGTGTGTGGAAACCAACCGGGTTGGTACTCGAGGCGCGAATTTTCGCCCACGCCCGAGAATGTGTGAACGCCGATCTCTTTGGCCTGTTCTCATATCACTTGCGATCCTTTCTTAATTATGTAATTCGTTAAATTTTTGCGAGAGACGTATGCGAGGTTAAATATACAATACATGGACAAGTTTCAGCTGAAATATTTTGAGAAATAAGAGAAATTATTTTTAATTGTTGCATGTTTACTATAAGTGATTGTTAAATATTTTATTGACACCTGGAATTTTGCAGAAGGGGCAACGAGTATGAGCAATGTGCGACGTTAACAGGCCATTCTAACTTTGTCAGTTCAGTATGCATTATAAATCCATCAGAGAGAAACCCCAAAGGTTATATCATTACTGGTAGTAACGACAATACTATATGTGTTTACATAGCGGATGAAACGGTGCCCACACACACAATAACAGCACATCAGAATAATGTGTGTAAATTAAAGACTGGCAAGCAGGATGGTACGTTTCTTTCAAGTTCTTGGGATATGACAGCTAAATTATGGAATGTGAGCGACTTGAGTAAACCACTACTAGACCTCAAAGGTCATACTGCTGCCGTATGGTGTATAGCTGATTTGTCAAATGGCAATATAATAAGTGGATCAGCTGATAAATTGGTAATAATATGGTCGAGAAATGGTATGGTGCAACACAAATTAACAGGACATACTGACTGCGTTCGCGATATAGTTGATATTAAAGAGGACGAGTTCCTAACTTGTGCAAACGATGCTACCATTAGACACTGGAATGCCAAACTTGGAACCTGTTTAGGCACTTATTGTGGACATGAGAATTATATCTATAGCATAGTAGCCATCCCGAATGGCACATATGTTTATTCATCTGGAGAAGATAGGACTATTAAAATATGGTATAATGCAGAACTGAAACAAACTATAGTTTTGCCAACACAATCAATATGGTGCATCGATTTATTTTCAAACGGTGACATAGTCGCTGGAAGTTCTGATGGAGCCATTCGGATATTCTCATCTGATCTCGAACGATATGCAAATAGAGAGGCATTGGAAGCATTTGACAAGGAAGTTGCGAGTACGATTTTAAATGCACAGGAAGTAATCGGAGACATTAACGTAAAAGAGTAGGTACTCTATTCTAAATAAAATAGTTTTTTATTTATTCATTCTATCTAATTTTTTATAATCAATTAGAAGTAATCTTGATTATGTACAGTTTGCCAGATGCAAGAGTTCTTCTGCAACCTGGCCAAAGAGATGGTCAAACGAAAATTGTAAATGAAGGTGATGCTGTTCGAGCATACAGTTGGTCGCAAAATGAACATCGATGGATAAAAGTTGGCGATGTGATGGGTGCATCTGGTGGTACTGCAGCTACCTCTGGAAAGCAACTCTATAACGGTATAGAGTACGATTATGTCTTCTCAGTCGACATTCAAGATGGTGTACCGCCCTTGAAACTTCCATATAATAAGGATCAAGATCCCTGGCACGTCGCACAGAAATTTCTTCATGATAATAATCTCAGTCAATTTTTTTTAGATCAGGTACACATTTGGAAAAGTATTTATAAGTAATTTATATATAATACAATATTATTATATAATAGTTTATTTGATATGATAAATATAATTGTTTGCATTTCACTTGTTGCTATATATTAAGAGATATATTAAAAGATAAAATAATCAAATCTGAAAGAAATGAGATTAAATCATTCATGTATTTTATTTTAGGTTGCAAATTTCATAATAAAAAATTCTGAGCCAGCTCCAGTTTTGAATACTGGATCGCAATATGTAGATCCTTTTACAGGAGGAAATCGATACGTTCCTGGATCAGGATCATCGTCTAGTACGTCCGATAGTGCGCAATCATCCACATTTAGTTCTTCCAACACATGTACATCTCCCTCTTATATACCTCACACGAGATATTTAAAGTTAGAACAAGCAAATTTATCTGCTATCTTTGGTAATTAGGACTTGTTTGAGATAATTAGATATAATTTTGCATTTCTTGGCAATAAAATATTTATAAAATTGCAGAAAAATTACATGAATTAAATGCTAAACAAGAAAATATATATAAAATACCAGAAGAAGAATTAGATGCTATAGAAAAGCTTACGAACAATCAAGTCTCTGAGGAAGTTAGGGCCAATGCTATTAGCATATTAAGAAATCTTTTAGATTGGCCGAATAACGCGGTGTTTCCAGCTCTCGATATAGCGAGACTCGCTGTACTTCACAAAGAAGTAAACAATCTATTTTGTACAGAAGAATTATTGCCAGTCATTCGGAGGCATATCAAAATCGATGCATTTCCGTCGAATCAAATGCTCACCTTCCGTCTGATAGCCAATATGTTTCAACACGAAAAAGGAGAAAAACTTTGTTTAGATTATAGAGATGAAATACTCGAGTCTCTATTAGATCTACAATCCCTTGGAAATAAAAATAATCAGGTATGTTATATTAAGTATTAAAATAATAATCGCGCAAATAACAAAATCTTATGACAAAGTTGTGTTGAATGAGAAAATAAACTTCAACAATAAGTTAAATTCTCATTCTATACAATAACATTTTGTTATATAAAAAAATGAAAATAGTATAAGTTAGACTGCAAAAAATTGAACTTACAAATTGTTGATGTTATATTACAGGTTGCAATATCGACTTATATATTAAATCTGATCGTAGCGCTGAATAATTGTAATGATACACCTGGTAAAACGAGAGCTCTAAATGTATTATTTACTGTATTACCTCGTTTGAATGAATCCGAAGCAATGTTTAGAGCTCTAGTTGGACTAGGAACCTTATTGACCGCTACATCAGATCCCAGTGATCGTAATGAATTAATTAACGCTGTGCGACAATCTGAAACTACTTTGAATGTTCTTAGAACTTTGTCAGAAAGCACGAGCGATCTTAGTATCTCGAACAAAGTGGTAAATTGTTCCAAGCAGATTATCGATTTAATTATTTAATGCGTTTTTGAATGGTGAGACATTTTATTTTTAAGATTATAAAAATAATTAAAAGAGAGAAAAGATTGAAAAAATTACAATTAAATATAATTAATTACGCAAATGGATTAATGTAAAATAAAAAAGATTTTGTGATGCACTAATTAAATTATAAATTATATAATTTCGATAAACGCAACTAAAAACCTAAGATAAAATAAGTTTGCACATTTATACATGTTTTACAATTCAATTGCTCGATCTTAAAAGAAAAAGATAATAAATACATCTTTATATAATTAATATTTATCGTTTAGACGTATTATACCCTTCCATAGAATTCTCAAAAAAATATTTAGATTTACATAATGGATTATTACAATATTTATATTATTTTACATTCATAAAAAATACAATTGTCTCTTTAGTACATGTTTATATAGTACATGTTTTTTAAAACATTTTTCCATATTTTTCACGCAGGATGTGTACAGCAATTTATTGATTGAACTCACGTAATTGAAGTTTTAAATTGATGTATTAACAATTTATTTATTTGTGCTCAATCTGGAATTATTCGTTACAATTGACCAAGTGTTGAAATGACATTTTACGAGCGTTATTCGACATATATATTGACTGTTTTGGGATTAAGATAAAATGATATATATTTAATGCTTTTACGTATTTTTTAATTTCATTTTGTCGTAGAGCATACATAAATATTCCTTAGTAAATGAACATGTTGTTAAGAGATACATAATATATATTTTGTATATATATTGATAACGCAAAATTCGAAGGAATAGTTTTCTCAGATTTTGTATCGGAAATACGAAAATTTTATATCGAAAATACAAAAATGAATTAACAAGTTTACGATACAGAAAAAAATTAAAACGACTCTCTCTTTTTCTGTTACACGTCCAGATAACGGAAACTGAAAGAATTATTATCGTGGCAGAGAAAGAAATATAATGTACTTACATATAAATGTATATAATGCATATTTAATTTTACATTGTCAGATTTGGAAAACAAGAGACGAAGTTATCTGCATGGAATGTAAATGACCTGCTTAAGTGACAATCGATTACTTGTAGTTTAAGTAAGATAACTTGTATTTCTAATGAAAATCAATTAAAATATATACAACGACGAATATAAAATAATAATTTATATAATATACATATATAATATTTGATTAAATTTCTCGGGCACACGCACCCAGTAAACGTACAACAGACAACAGTGTAATAGTAGAATATTGTTATTACATTAACGTCAATATATATTTCCTTAATTACATATCAATTTACTCTCGCAATAGCCAAGAGCTATTAATTAACTCTTGCAGTTAATTATTACACCAAAAATAACATTCATTTGTATACACTCATATTAACTTCAATTATGCTCAATGAATACATACAGTAATAGATGAAAGATAGTTACATTGTCAGGCCATTCTGGCTCGGGAATGTGAATGCATTTCTTTTGCTTTTTCTTTTTTACAAAAATAACTTTCAATATATATCTGAGATCTGTAAGATAATAGAAACAGTGCTGATTCATACAATTCAGAATCCAATTTAACATTTAAGTTATTACTAGCAGTACACAGCTAGATGCGTTTTCATCATGAATGCACAGGCCCAACGTCATCACGTAGAAAAGTATCTATGTAAAAAATCCGAAGGATTAATGTTGCTCTCTGATGTCAGCAAAAATATAACGTGCAGGAACCATTATCTTTCAGATTTCTGTATGTAACAGTGACGACGGAGTCTATTTGACAATAAAAACGATTTCCGATATTTGGAGGCGTTACTTTAACAGTAACATTTATTTCTTCAATAAAAAAATATTAAAACGGAATTAATGAAAACTATAACAATGGACATTTATATATAAATACATTAATAAGTTAACTATAATGAAATAAATGAGAAAGCTATAAATATCTACATATGATTATAGTGCTTTCGCATTGGAAATTTTGGCCAAGAGCTCTGATTTTCAATAGAAAATGTTAAGAAGTACTTTTACAAAATACAATCTTTAAAAAAAACTGAGCACTTACCTGACAGATATTTTTAAAGCTAAACATGCTTACTAATTGTAATAGTATACTAATTGACTAAAATTTCCTCTTAATTTTTTGGTGATTTCTCTTCATAGTTCATCGCATTTTGAATTAATAAAAAAATGAAATTTTAAAGTAACGCCTTCATACGCATATCATTCCGAGTGACTTGGACGCAAATTCTCCTAACTCTGTTGAAACCAGTGACGGGACTGCTTTTGCTCGCGAGCAGGAGAGATTCGGAATGCCCTACAGAAATGCACTGATTCCTAAGATGTCCTCCCTTAAACTTAAGTTACTGGCATATGTACCTGAGGCGACGTGCATATACCTTTCGCGTAGAATGCATTGAGGCGATTATTCTTGACGAGATAAGTCACTCCAGTGTGTCGAAAAACTACATCGAAAATTACTCACGTTACAATCTCAAGTTTTACTTTTTACACAAACTACTGGTTGAGTAGAAGCTCAGAGACGAATTTAAGAATCACTTGAACGGAATTCTGGGCCTTTATTTGAGCCTCTTTGGAAATGTTAGTTTCTGAAAGAAAATATCAGCGCTTTTTTAGTAACATCGTTTATGCGAACATTGCGAATAAATTATTGATCTTTTTCGTTCGCGTTAAAACTTAAATTCGCCCCCGTATATACAATATCTTTCGTAATTTTGTACCATAAAACTTAGCATACTAAGCGGTGATGTTTATCTTCGACTACTCGTGATTGCCTGGTGGGAACTCGTCGTTTAGAGATTACTTCGCGCATGAAATATCGCTTGCGGTAAAATAAACACAGCCTCATTAATTGAAGGATTTGGAGGAAGAAGTATTAAAATATATATATGTATGTATACATCATATATATATATATATATGTCCTAGAGTTCTCTTGAGGTATGGCGGTATGCGTTATGTTATACCTCGCGAGTACAAGTGCTTGAATAGGGCAGTATGCGACATATCTCGCATACTGTTTAAAATCATACGCGCTAAAGGTTCCTCAAAACTTGGAAGCATAACATCAGAATGTACAATTACAATTACGCGACTGTTGCACGATAAGAAATTATGCGATCTCGTTTACAAAATACTTTCAATGTCCTTTGCTGCCACAACAATTCAGAAAAGAGCATTATAAACTTCGCTTCTTCCTTTTTTTACAGAAGGGCATCAACAGTCATATCATTTACTCTCTCCCTAAGTCACAACGCAACTGCATCGTGATTTCGACGGCGTAACATAAAGTGTCCAATCTTCGTGATCGAAAAATTTTAAAATAGACAAGCATCGTCGCTGCGAAAATACATCGAAGCATATTAGTATTGAACGCGTATGCTGAAAAGCTAATCGCCTAACGAAGAGATAATTTCTTCCTAATTGAAGATACATATTTCTCTTTTCACAAATATTAATCCCCTCATTCCTAAATTATTTCTAAATTTTGGCAAAGATATTTGTATATTTTTTTTTTTTCATTATATTGAACAACACTGAGCACATAATACTAGAAAATTCGTATTTAATCGCTTAAGAATTACGTTATAAATTCTTGATCCATTGCAATACAGTTACATTGAGTATTGAGTATGCAGTATGCATGCGCGTCCTTAGAAACTAATCTTTTTAAAATTCAATTTAAAAAAAATTTAAATAATTTATATATCCTCAATAAACTATGCAGCTATAGTAGGAATGAGAGGCTCGACGAAAAGAAAGACGACAAATTACGGCAGGAAAGTGCCGGCGCGGTAACTAACTCTTTGAATGCCCCTAGAAGCTGTATCTCGGCACTCGCCGAACGCGTCAGTATCCCATTCTATTTGAAGATACTCCGCGGATGGAGAAGGCGGATTTCAACGCTCATCTCTCGCGTGAACATCAGAATGGTAAAACGCGTTATCGTTACCTTTATTCAGAATTTTTCTAAGATGACGCATATGCCAGGGGACCTAGAATTTGTACTCGGTCCCCCCAAATTCGTTTCATTCAGCCGGTGTACTTGACGCCCACCTGTCGAACTCGATTCCTGAATCGGGGCTGAGTCCTAAGTCGAGAGGGCTCAAGAAGCTGGGCGCTGGACAATTGCAGGGTCCATTTGGCCGGCACGCTCCGATGCACCTCTGCTCGTTACTCTTGTTTTGTCTGTCTCCTCCTCGATCTCTCAATTCCTGCTCGAAGCTGTGCAACTGCTCCATAAAGTGAAAATTCGGTGCGACATTGGACTTTCTACTACGTACTAAATTAAAAGCGTCGTTCAGGCTGAGGCTGCACTTGTGCATGATATAAGCCACGGTGATCGTGACGGACCGAGAAATTCCGGCCAAACAGTGTACCAATACTCCCTTGTCTGAACTCCGTGCCTCCTCTGAAAAATAGATAACAAATCGCAATTTTAATTCTATTATCAATTTAAACAATTACTACATTGATAAATATTTAATATTTATTTACGATACTTCACGGATTTTTCTTGTAATTACACTGAAGATACAAAATGTGCACGATATAAACTTATTTTATAATAATTTTTCAAAATGCATAAAGCAAAACATCGTTTCTTAAATTAGCTGATATTAGAGATTGAACGGCGAATTCGAATATTAATTTTGTTAAGATATTGAGATGTATTATTGCTTAAACTATTAATGAAGATTAAAAATGGAAGATATTAATTAGCAATTACGTTACACTATTATTATATTCAATGCTCAAGAAAATTGCGATAAAAATGCTAAAGGAAACTATGCATATCATGACGAATTTGCCCAAATGGCGCCAACAAAGAAAAGTCGGATCGCCAATACTAAAATATGTTGGGACAGTCAAAAGTGCCAGACCGGCTCAATAGCAATGCCAAGCCTCGCCATTCAGACTTAAGTATAGCTCTCGGCCTAACCGGACATCCGTTGTTTAATTGTCTAGCGCGGCTTGCCCACCACGTGGGAAAGTTTCTATTTAGGCGAACCTATTTATAAGAATGCCCCTTTCAGAAGCTGCGCGGGGACTTTCTTAAACAGGAAATCCTGTTTAAGAAGCAGTCCGAACAAGATTTTAACGCGGAAAAAGCTTCGGCGCAATAAATAAAGCTCACGTCATTCGGCCATTCTACAGGCACATATATACGAAACGTGTGTGAACCGTAAGTCAAAAATTTTACGTTAAAAAAAAAATCTTTTCTTATCAAATGAATGATATACAAAATATCTCACTTGTATGTATTCTAATGTTAACGTTTACCGTTCATTTAAGATATATTGAAATACCAAATCGATTGCAAAAAATTTCTTTTTATTTTTGCGAAAAATTCTTTTACATATATTTTATAAAACAAATTTAATTTATAAACACAAAGATGCTTACAAGAAATAATTTGTTTTAAAAAGAATATATGTATATTGAATTTTATAAAATGTAAAATTGCCTACGGTAAAAGCATTTTTATTTTTTACTCGAATTTATGATTGTGATTTTCAATAGAGGATACCTCGTACCTCGTACATCGATATGCTGTCACTCACCTATAAATTGAATTGCCTGCGGGAAGAAACTCGCCAAATTCTGACTCCAGTGATCGCTTATCGGTATTTGCATGTATTTTATTGAGCCGGCACTTTCAAACACATTTGGTAAATCCGGTGTCACATTGAGTATGTATTGTATCCTGTGTCGCGCTAAAGCCTCGCGATCCTCGCTATTAGCCGCATTACCGAGATACAAATGAGGTAAAATTTCCACCGGAAAGTCTTTATCTTCCTCCGGGCCTGGAATGTACAAACACGAATTTACCGTTTATCATTATGTTATATTTTCTATTGCCCTATTATTATTATTATACGCGTCTTATCTACTTGACAAAGATGTTTTATTTTATACGTTTTTAGATGTTATATGTTTTATTTTTTTTTTCATAAGATTATTTTATTATTCATTGATTATCGCTGTATTATATTGTTTTTTCATTGATATAAATTCTTGTTGGTCTCGTAAACTAAAGCAGATATATTGAGATTGTCCGCTCACCAATTGAGTCGCACGTGCTGTCACTATCAGAATCTGAATAAGATCTGATTGGTGGAGTAGATATCCGAAGGGATCTAAGGCCCATCAATTCACCATCGTTATTGTCCTGACTTGGATCACACTCACTACTGGCTTGACTACCTTCGCACCATTCCGGATATTTATCTTTAAATGCTTCGAAACCACCTACAAATGACAATTAAAAGTTTTTGAGACCAAGCGAAAATCTATCTAGAGTAGTCAAAAATTTTCTATTATAAAATTTAGAATGTACGGTACATAATAATTTTATAAAAAAATCAATATTTTCAAATTCAACAGCTTGTTAAATTTTCTCGAAAGTTATTATAAATCGAGTTACGAATTACATGTCTCGGCGTAGAATAATATTAAAAAAAAAAAATTAATAATCACACAAAAATACATTTATAACTCTTCATTATTTTCATTATATATTTTTACTTTTTAAAATGCTTGCCAGCAAGATTATAACATAAAATAGACTTTTTTTCATTCATTATTAATACATTCGCAATCAGTAAATTTCCTATGCCAAATAAAATACTGAATGGCTGAATGGTTTTATCTAAAGCCTGATAAAGACAGAGTATAGAATTAAGTGTCTGGTTCTACTGGAATGCCTCCCACATAAATCAATATTTCATTCACAACCAGTCTCTATGCTTCGGCTGTTATTTCTGAAAGCCTTTCTACACCACAATTATCATTGCTGTCCGTCGTACACATATGTATGTGACAGAAAAATAATATAAATGCAGAGTTATAATTAGCAATTATTGTGCGATGATTAATAATTAAATTTAGAAATCTTTGCTAAAGTAGACATATATATTAATTATATTGTTTATATAATAGTATTTTTATAATTCCTATTTTTCATAATATTTCATTTTCATAATATTTTTATTAACAGTAACTTATTAATTATTTAAATATTGATGTAAATTTATATATTTGGATGTCTTAAATTTACAATTTGCACACAATTCAAAAATAGAACAAAAAGGTATTCTAGTTTCAATTATAAATACAAACTTCAATTGTCAAAGTAACAATAAATGAATAGGAGCTTTAATTATCAAATTAAATAGATATAAGCTTCAATTGCCAAATTAAATGGACACAAGTTTTAGTTGTCAAATTAAATGGACACAAGTTTCAATTGTAAAACTAACAATAAATGGATATAAACCTTAATTGCCAAATTAAATGGATACAAGTTTCAATTATCAAATTATAACAATAAATGAATGTAAGCTTTAATTGTCAAATTAAATGTATAGAAGTTTTAGTTGTCAAACTAAATGGATTCAAGTTTCAATTGTAAAATTATTAAACAATAAATGACTATAAGTTTTAATTGTCACATTAAATAGATATAAGCTTTAGTTGTCAAACTAAACGGATAAAAAAATTTTAATTGTCAAACCATAATCTTGAAAATGAGACTCGAATTACAGTGAATTGTTTGACGTTGGAATAAAAAAATTGATCTCTCTCTCACCGTTTAAAGTGGCAACATTTCCTCCACTGCTCTTGAGCCTCCGGTTCAAAACTTGTATCGTTTCACTCTGATGACCCGCAGAATCCGCAGAATCCCCGATTAATATAAATGTTCCTCTTCTGTTTTCATCCCCGCACAAAAACATCTCCACTCTGTTTCTCAGATCTAAGCACCGTATCGTGGACAAGAGGTCCACTTTACCAGCAGCCAATCTTCGCAGGATGATACTAGGTATGGTCAGAGGTACCGAACCTCTTATGTGAGCATCCGAGAAATCAGAGTGTGCCCTGCAGTCCAGAATAAGAAGCTTGTCGCGACCATTCTGCGATCTCAGCTCTTTGAACAGCCATTCCGGACCCAGAAGATTCTCTTCCATTGCACTATCAGGCATCTTGAGAGTCTCTCGCTTTTGTACTCTTGCACACTTTTGTATATTCTATGGCCTTCCTACGTGTCTCCTCCGAAAACAAACAGCACTTTCGAGATGCAACGATTTTCTGAAATCACACCGAGTTTCTGCCACAAAAATAAATTCTCGAGTCACCGAAGTATTATAGAGAAGCGATCGTTATCGCGCGCACGGCACTTGGCGATAAACAATAAACAACAGAACTGTCAAAGCGTTGTTATCCTGTCAAGACGACCTTTTCGACGGTTCGTCATCGCTCGAGAGGCTTCCAACTTCATCGACTAGCGTGATACATCGGCTCCGGTGATACGCCCAACGCGTCGGCACCGGGGAACGCGTCGTCGGTCCCCGTCAACGCGCGTTCTCCACTATGGTAACGAGCAGAACGAGCGCGTGTTATCCGTGGCGAGTGCGTGTGGTGCGTGCACGCGTCGTCCCAGTACAGGCGTCTCCCGCCTATTAATATTTACTAGATATGATATATGCGAAATGGCACTTCGAGTCGAGTGGCGGAACACGTTCCCCGGATGTTTCATCCGGAGAACGATCGCGCGTTCACCCGTCGACGACGCGATCCGACGTATTCTCACGCGCTACCATCATTTCCTGCGATACTACTACGTCGTGCTGCGTATGCTACTCTGCCTCCACCTCTTGCCTCCCCACTGCTGCTGCCACTACTGCCACCACCGCCACCACCGCCGCCACCACTGCCACCGTCGCCGTCGCCGTCGCCGCCGCCGCCGCCGCCGCCGCCGCCGCCGTCGTCGTCGTCGCTCTCTGTGCCGCTGCCGTTGCCGCCGCCAGATCGTCCCGGTTATCGATCCCCTCGTGAACAACGCGTCCAATTAACGGCACGGCTGTGGAATGTTTACGCTCGCCATTCGGGAAATGCATGTCCGACCGTTCGCGATCGCCGCGCTCTTACTCCACCACGCGCGCACCGAGCCTCGGCGTCGCGCGAACTCCGCGGGCTCCGTCGTCGTCTCGACGCGCGACGAGAGGCGATGGCTCCATCCTTGTCGCGCGCGTTCATTCGCGCGCGCACTCCACGACCCGCGCTCGCTCCCGCCTCCTCACCGCGCCGCCCGTCCTCGCCCCCACCTTCTCGAGCGTGGGTTCGCCGTCGCGCGCGCAAACGCTGGATCGCGTACGCGCTCGTCCGATCGGATCGGTTTTACCGCGTGCCGACGTCCGTTTCCCGTCCTTTTTTTTATCCCACGTCACGACGTCCTGTCAGCATCGCGCTGCGATTCGGAATTCCTTGTCCGTCGACGAAGAGAAATGTGGAGGCTTCCGAACGACGCGAGGAATGTCACGAAACTCCAATCTGTCGTCTTCTTCCACGCCTTGTCCTCTTCTCTTATCTTCTTTCTTTCTATCTCTTTCTATCACACACTCTCGTTTTCTTTTTCCATTTTCACGGAATTCTACTCCTATCGCGCTCACGCGACAGACGCAGGCCACACCTTACCCTCGAACGTCCGCTCGTCGAAGAATGGAGCAACGACGCTCGGTACGTCGCGCGCAGGGGAGAGACGCGGCTGCCGTGCGACGTGATTCGCCATGGGTCACGTGAGCGCGCGCGGCCGGCCAATCGCCGCGCGGGCTGACGTCAGTTCATTGACAAAAGATGTTTTCATTAACGAGGCGTGGGTAGTGGTTGGGTCGGGGGTCGGTGCTGACTGAGCCGTCGTTGAAGCGCAGCCGGAATGGCCGGAGCGGCGATGAAGGGGTATGGCAGAGACGGAATGGAGCACCGCACGTTACACGCGCGCGCTCTCTCACGCGTGCGTGGGCGCGTATTATCACGACCGCGTGAGGAAGAGAGAAACGGAGAGGGAGAGAGAGAGAGAAAGAGAGAAAGGGATCCCGCGCCGTATCGACATGCACGCACACTGGCGTGCACGTGCTGCTACTCGCCAGCAGGGCCGAACATCGGCGATCCCGTCACCCTACATAGCTAGCTTAGTTCCTTCTCGATCCTACTTCTGCCTCCCGTCTCTCTCACGATCGAATCAATATCTCCACTTTTCTCTCCTGTTATCTATTTACCGCGTATATACGTACAATGTCTATAATGAACTCTTCCGTTACGCTCGAATTGTCGAACGTGCCTGACTTCTCGCGCGACTGTATCCAATTGTCGCAACCTGTTCTGACTAGAATGTTACTGGAGGTCTAGTCATCATGAGTAGCGATTATTAGCAGTAATATTTATTATGCATCTGTCTCCGATTGATAAGTCATGTTATCGCAGTTGCGTAATGATATCGACGTTTCCGAAGACTGCTTCAGGCCGTACGTAGCATTAAGCATTTTACTAATGATTTCCCAGATACACAACGAAACAATGACCTCCCTCCTTCGTGGGATCAGTTCCGGCTTCGTAGAAACGCGTAATATGAGTCTGATGTAAATCCGTACATTGATGTTGAGTATAGGTGTTAAAAGCGCCAGGATTACATTACAATAATTACAGGAAATACAGCGACTAGTAGAGAATTCGAGAACAGAAATCCAGGATGAAAAGGGGAAAAATATATTTTCGTTTAGAGATTGGAAAAGAAATTTCTAAAATGAAAAGAATTATCTTGATATCTTTTGTCGTTTGAAAACTTGAGCAAACAGTGACATCACGATCTATATATACAGATATTAAAAGTGCAAACTGCAGAAAATATATTGATATTATGTTTATAATATCGAGTGACGCCAGAGAGCTTGACGGTATAAACAGTCCATTAATTCTACATGTTGAATTATTAATTGAAATGTATTGCAATCACAATACATTACCATTTATTTTCTTTGATAGACGAGCCTGAGACAATGTCGTAAATTACCAGTGGAGCAAAAAATCATAAAAATAACTCGTTTCATTTTCAAGTTTATTCTTCATTAAATTACATTTGCGAAGTTTAGTAATAAGAACGATATAAAAACGAAAAGTAAACTGCAGTTTGAGAACTACACAAAGATCGCTCATTGTGAACACAAGTGACTGTAATCAAATAAATTGTAAGTAACTGTAATCATTATAAAAGAAAATATTTTTAACGAATGACGTTTTAAAAACGTGGATGAAATCTCAATCTCTAATACAATTTTAGACGAGTTTTCACGAACTCTCGACTCGAGATACGATTAGTGAGGCATTAAGAATTAAGATTTCAAGAATTCTCCAACGGAGAATAGGGCGGATAAATAGAATGTTCCAATTAAATTTCGATTTCGAAAGGAAGGATCGTTTCAATTTTCAACGAGAATTTGCCAGAACAACGCGCCGACATTTCGTCGGGCATTCAGTTACATATACGATGACGACGACAGTCGTCGAAGGGCTTGAAAACGCGAAGTTACTCGCGGGAGGACGCGATGGCAAAACGTGCCATCGAGCGATACGGCCTTGGCCCTTGCCGTTTACGCGAAGCCCGTCCTCGGCCTCGCCCGTTCATCGCGTTCGGCTCGGCTCGGCTCGGCTCGGCTCGCTCGTTTGTTCTCTTTCACCCTGGCAGGAGGGGACGACAGCCTATCAGACGACTGTGCCAGGCGTAGGTCGGCATTCCATTCATTTGGGCGGCTGTCGTTGAAGATTTTCGCGTCGATCACACAGCCGCCGCCGCCGCCGCCGCCGCTTTACCGTGCCTAAGTGCGCGCGCGCACCCTACGCCTGCGAGGGTGAAGGACGGGAAGGGACGTTGAGGATGGGAAATGGGACAGAGAACGAAAGAGGAGATTGATACGAGGACGAGAGGAGGCAAAGAAAGAAGGGAAAGGGCCGCGGGCGTCTGTGACCTTCCGCGGGTATCCGACGCGTGCTGACGAATTGGATTCAATCCGCGTGGGTGCCGGGTAAGGTGAGGCACCCGGCCGTTCTTCCGTGCGCGCGCGTCCCTCTCGCTCGCCCTAACGCTCAATAACGCTCGGGTGGCTGGCGGAAGGCTTTAACATTAAAGCAGAAGAAGGAAGCTGCCTGCCGGCCGCCCAGCCGAGAAAGCTCCAATCCGATTTTCTTGATATCGATTTCCGGCGTGATCGTCTCGCCGAGGCTGACTCATCCGCGTCTCTTTATGTGGAAAAAAAAATAGCAGGCGACAGGACAGAGATACGTGATGTGCGGGATTCTTGCTTTTTATAAGGGAAAAAGAAAGAAGAGTCTCCTCGATGCGATCTATATAAATTATTTCTAGCTCATTCGTAATTAAATTTCTATTTCTATTAGATATGCAAATTAATTCGATGTCTTTAGATTTCTATTAAAATAAGTGTTTGAAATCCGGTTTGTCGGAAAGTGGATCAAAATTGTGGAAAATAATGGAGATAACCCGGTTCATTATTTGATTCATCAATAAAGTTTGAATTTTATAAAAAAAAAGACATCATGAATTAATTTATATATCTAATACATTAGAAACCGATTAAAGATGAACTCGTGTTGATAATGAACATCTCACAGTTTTGTCCTCTTTTATACAATCGAAACTCCGCAGTTTTTTTACGACCAAAAAAAAAAACAAGACATACATCGATAGAATTTTTCATATTTCGCATTGCAATTTTAGTCCCTTGGGAATTTGCCAGGAATTCCGTGTATGACATACGACGCGATTCGAAATTTCGCCATCAGACACAAACGTGCAGATACAAACGAATTTGTATCTTGACACAAATCTAGCTAGATAGAAATGTCAAATATCGAGAAACGTGAACGTCGTACAAAGGTACATGGGTATACAACAGACTTGTGCATCTCGAGTAATGTTCTCTCGTAATAATGTTCAGTGCGTTTTGATGCATCACAATGAAATGCGTGGGAACGGCGCAGGAATCCTAGATGGAAATAACAGCGCAACATGGCTAATTGTGAGACACGTAGACGATTATTGTCCTTCGTACCTGCATACTGCATACTGTCTCTCGCCAGTTTCCTATGCCAGCCATTGCGAAACTCGCAATTAAAAATTGACGGAAGAGATCGGACGTGGGCGAGTCGCCTCTATTGGAGCGCGGCGAAAGGTCTTGCACGATGAATTAGTAACTAATCTCATTGGAGAGTGGCGGTGCAAAATTCATGTCAGCTCGCTCGAATGTCTCTAAAGATGATTCCGGGAAATTATGTTATTTGATTATACAATATAATTTATACATTCAACGGATTTAACTTGCGCGCGACCGACGTCGATGATGCATTTCTAAGGGCACGGAGTCCGCTGGTGGGACGACAAAATCCAGCGCTTTTACACGCGACAGAGTAGTTTTTGCATTAATATTTTCCATTAAAACGAACCAGAGGTTCGTCAGAATTTTATTAAATATTGCGGCTACGTCACGGCGAACGCCTACACGGATTATCCCCGCGATGTAAAGCTATCAGAAAAACAGAACTTCAGGGCACAGTATTTTTAGCGCATTTTCACGTATTGATTTCTTTTTGTAATCAAGTAACAAAGAGGCACCGCGAAGAAGGGTTACTCGAAAGAACGTTAACTGCTGAGGTAATAAAAAAGATAAGATGGCATCGTAAAAATTATACGATCGACAAGCGGCTCGCTTCTTCCCGTCCAGAACGTAAGGCGGGATATATTATAGCGTCTATCGTCCCATGATATTTTTAGGCGTAACGAATTCGGGACTCGATAACGAAAAGACAACAAGGCACTTCTTCTGGTACGTCCTCGAACACTCGTGACGTGTACATCCGCCATAGCGATACGAGATACAATGACACGGCATCATATCTCAATCGTGACCTTTCCGAAAATAAAGTACTCTCACTTGCTATCACTCGCTAGGCAGGCGTCAAGCTTGGGAATAGCATTCTATTCGTACGTCGATGTAGATCTTGACGTGCCACGTGGGCGTAGCAAATGGGGTAGGGATTGGGCTATTGCGCCCCAATTGCTAAATTGCACTAGTTAGGAATCAAATGGATGGATTTTGTGAAAATTGACAGCGATTTCTGGGAAAGTTCCGCGAATAATTCGCATGCGTTTGTAAAAATATTCACTCCTGTATTCTCGAGAAGAGCGATTGCAATTAAAATTATCGATCGGAGAGTAATTTATTCATACGACAACTAGAATCATTCTCTTTGTGATGTCGTTTCCGTTTTTTGAACGACATTTCGCAGTTAGTCTGCTAATAGGTCAAGCAGATATTTATAAGTTTGATTTTTACGGCAAAGGGCATATTATAGATCTAAAAACGGTGCTTTGCTGAATCGTAATTGGTCCGATGTAGATAATCAACGTTGAAATTGAAGCAATCAGATCAAGGATTTCCGTTTTTGTCAATATTTTTTCATGAGAAAGAACACACCACACGATTTTTCGTTTTACTTACACACAAACTTGTTATCTCGTAGATTAAGATAAAGATATTAGTTTCGAATCTCATATAAAGATAAAAATTTATATTTTCGTCCAGAAAGCTGGGAAATATAAATTAAAATACGTAATTAATTTAAAAAATATTTTATGAACGATTTTATACGATTTAATTATTTTATATTTTTAAATTTTAATTAAGTAAAATGATCTATAACCAGAACTTAGTATTAATTACGGATCAGCTTTCAAAAATACTTAATCGTCTTTTGAAAGTATCATGACATTTTATGAGAGAATAATAATCTAATTGCGCTTATATACCATATATATATAACTAAGAAAATTATAAGTAGTGATCTATATCAGGTTTCGGATTTCAAAAAATGAATTAGATATTATAGATGCAGATTTCTGCGAATAAAATATTCACGTTTATTTTTAAATAATTATAGAGAAATGGAAAGTTTGAAATCGGAATACTTAATGGAAAATTTATCTTTTCTAATAATATTTATTACTCTTTCTAAATCTTTCGTATATTTTCGTATATTTTCCATCTAAACAATCATTTTTGTGTATTTATAAGTATTTGTGTATTTGTATGTCTTTCAATCTTTCAATCGCATTTGTATATTTAATTATTTCATAGTAATTCTCTAATATGCTCACTGAAAGATTTATCAATTTTATCAATCGCGTAATACATAATTAGATAGTCTATTGACTTTAAAATTAAATCACGCGTAAACCGATGTGTTTGCGATGCTGCAATCAAACACGCGCGTTGCGTAGTAGAGTTCATTTTCACGAAGCTGCTGCTTTCCCTTATTATCATCGTAAAATGGCAAGCCGGTAGACGTTAAACCTAATTAAGCAGTAACGCTACTATCACAAAGAAGAAAACGTATTACGTGAGATAAACGAGTTTTCACATAGAAGGATGAAATAGATATATAACAGCGAAACGTCTTTTTTAATATAAAAGTAATTATTATTTTCGTATTATATATCATATTTTTTCGAAGAAAACAATTTCGAGTTTACAATTGCAAGTTTACAGAATTATTAGTATCTCCAGGATTGTAGGAGGCTTAAATTTAAAACACTTAAGTGTTTTTATTTAAGAGATGAAAATTATATAATCCTTCCACAAAGTTAATGTTGGTCTTTTGATTTAGTTATTAAATAATTAGACTAAATCTAAGATCTAAAATAAAATTTCTCATTTCAGCAACGGTCAAATAAAGACCCTCTCTTGGATTCTCAACAAATCATCACGCTATACAATTCTCCGAGGTATAATTCGCAAATTATCCAATCTAATATTATCAATCCATTTCTGTCGCTCGGATTTATTTCTACTTCTTTATTAACTGCTCGTTAATAAATCCGGTTTATCGATTATTTATTTAAACAAATTATTAGAATATCATCCAAATGTCGTTGCACGTATGCACGCTTATCCGAGGCAGGAAGGATGTTCGGGATATATAAAAAGCAGCGGCGATTTATAAATAGGGTGTAAAATGCAGCCCACAATGTCGCTTTACGTCACGAAAGGAAAATCGCGCGTCAATTCCGCGGTCGGGAATAGCGAGATAAACGTACGTAACGAAAGGAAAGTCGCGCGCGGAGAGACGCGGAGAGATGCATCACGTTGCAGGTGCCGATTACGACGGACAATATGCGTACGGCGGGTTGACGTAAGAGCCTGCCTGCTGACGACCTTAACAGGTGTGCACACACTTAACGGGCATGATCATTATTTTCGCGATACGGTCGCGGGGTCACGCGGGGTGTTACTCAATCGCGACCCCGCCAGTAATTCCGCGAGCGCTGCGGCACAAACACAACGGACAAGCACGCGTTTTTGCATTTTTTTTTTTCTCGCAGCCCTAGAACACTACTGATGGAGGATGCTACGTGGGCAGTTACACGCGCGCACACGGTCAACTGACAATAGAATATAAAAATACACGAGATGCACGAGACGCGAGAGAGTAAGGTACGAGATACAATATCGCGGAGACACACGCGATAAGATAATAACCGCAGGAAATAACTAATTACAAAGAACACGTGACTAAAAGATAATATATATATATATATATGCGTAGTCGCGTTACGCAATACTGTAAAAATTATATACTCGCGCGCTTCTTTTTTTGTGTCTGTTTCGTATGTTCGATCCAGCAATCATTTTTCATGGCCTTCGCGCGCTTGAAATTCATGCACTCGCGGGGGTAACAAAAATAATGAGACAACGAATATCCTTGACGCTTCCATTTTTAGTTTAAATTAATTTCTTTATTCTATCCACTTTATTCGAATTATTTTTCTTCTAAAGTAGCATATATATTTAGAAAAAATATAAAAATTGAAGAGATTTTTTTTGTGTAACTTTTTTGTTCTTTAATAGTTCTATGTACTCTGCTTTGAAATTTTTTTATCATTTTGATATTTGCCGATTTTACAAAATGTCACTGTTTTTACTATTATCATATTGTTTATTTTAATCTCGCAATTATTTAAATATTGCTTTAAACTTCATAAATACCCCTCTCATTTAACAATGATTCGATAAACCGATTCCAATTAGAATTTTCCTCCATAAATATTCAATGTGTATATTTGCCTGTTTTGTACTTAATGCAGAAATCTAATTTTGACTTTTATTTGTTTGACATGATACTGATCTTCGCAATAATAAATTCAACGCTCGCGTAATATTTAATCGTCCGACAACAATCGCCCCCCAATTCCCGCTGACTCACGTCACTTGTTTACATGGTCTATATTAATTAATTATGTCGCGGAATTAATTTCTTCGTCACCGAGCTTGACCCTCGGGCGACGTTAATTAACAAAGATTAGTCGAAGACTTAATCGCGAATGCTCCCGAGAACCTTATCTACCGTGTAGCGAACAGATAGCGCATAGGAACGTGCAAAGTCGGTGTGGAAGCTATAACTGGTTTTCATAATTTATTACAATTCCCCCTTACGTGTCCCGCGCTCTCGGACCCTCGTCTTTCATTCATCGTCGTAAAGAAACGTAATGTAACTAGGAGGAATTATTGGCCTACGACGCGTCTCACGGCCGGGCGCGTGCGCGCGCGAGTTGCAAGTAGGATAGTAGTATTTCTACTCGTGAGTCCATTCAGACATTTCCGTCGACCCAATCTACCGTTACATTCTACGAATCGGAAACGTCGGCGATAAAGCGCCCGGTATATGTGTGGTTTTCTTTTATTGACTCACGCCTCGCGCCTCATTGGATATCGACGCGACGCTCACGCGGCGAAGACGATATGAGGCCCCTCTCTCTCTCTCTCTCTCTCTCGTAGGACAGCATATGGCAACGTGAGGATTCATTTTACGGACCATTTGCCCGATCTCGCACGGTCCGTCCGGATCCCTCGCATTACGCACAGAGACTTGGCATATATGTATTTTTAAACTATGATCTCAGTGCGCGAACGTCGCCGTTTAATCGCGTGATACTGACCCGCCGTAACGTGCTACCGTGGCAAAGAACCATCTGTTACAGATAATTTGCTAAGGTTGTTCGTATGCAAAACGGAAAAGTGAAAGATTAAAACGCGTTGCAGAACATAAGAGAGATAAAGAAATCCGAAAGATTGATTTTCAACGGTCTTTCTGAAAAACTCGAGAAAATTCAAGCTCAAAGTCAAGGGGACTAGAAATTAAACAAAGTCGTGGAAATTAAATTTACATATTACTTGAGGAACTTTGAGATTAACTTAAAAAAGTTAATCTCAAAATAATTTAATCTAGCGAAAATGAGTTTAACTTTGACTGATGACTGATGCCGCCTTAAATTTTACTTTCAGATTGTCTAAATATTGTAAACTGCGATTAAAAGTTTATTATTGGTAAACGTAAAAGCAGCTAAAAATTTTTTTATTGTGATATGCATGACGTGAACCGCTCATAATCTATACAATTGTTTAAATGCAGTTTTTTTCTATTACAATACTTGAATATAAAAATATACAGATATGCATAGATATTTTTTTATAGATTGTCGCAGTTATTTTGAAAAACTTTGCAAAAAAATATTTTTAAATTATTGCCATTATATGAGCTGATTAAATATAAATATATAAATTATCTTTATCTAGAAAGAAAAAAATCAAACGTGAATAATTAATGGCGACGTGTCAGAGAATTCAATATAGATTTTAGCAACATGTTTTTAACATGAGATCTGTATTTGGTGCTCGAGACGAATTGTTCAAGGAAGCGAAACATCCGCAGGAAACGTTTCAATTGCCTGAGTCAAAACTATTCTAAAGTTTCAACATTTCCATGAGCCGGAAATTACGAATGTGTATAATCTTGTAGACTAGGTCC